AGTAGATCAGTTGTGGGGTAAACACATGTTGCAGGTTGTTTATCTATTTATTTGTTAATTTCAGTAACACGTGTGCTGGTTTTATTAAGGGGTAAACCGGATATGAGGAACGTGTTTTGTTATTAGCTAGAACACGTATTGAGCTTGTTTATTTGTTTAGAGACACGTCACATAATCTGTTGTTATATCTTTATTGTCTAAAGGGACATGTTCGTGTTCGCGTTATATGCTAGTTGTTTATGTATTGCTGATATGTTGTTACTGATAATCTCTAGCTGTTGCTCTTGGGTTCCTGATGTCTTCTTGGGTCTTACAAATTTTGAGTTTTGACTGGTTTACCAGTTGAGATTACTATTTTGTCAGGTTCCTTCTAATATCTAGAAAGATGTAAATCTGTACTGGCTTGATTGAAAGCTAGAAGAGTTGATATTGAGTTCCTTGGCCTTACTATGATTCAGATTTACTTTTGTTTTTCCTTTTCTCAAAATTTGATGGATAAAGTACTAATGTTATTATTATGTACTCTTTTCTTAGCAACTTGTTTATAGAGCTTTATGTGTTGCTTCAAGTGGGGTAATGTGGTTATATTTCTTTTTACTGTGTTTGCTGAGCTTGGAATATGGTATCCTTTTTTCTCTAAACAATTATCAAAAAAAGAAATTTTTAGAAAAATAATGAATCAGCGGAAAGAGTTTTTTTGGGAACCAATTAATTTATTAATTTTATAATATATTAAAAATATTATAAATTATATAAATAAAATAATAAATTTATTTTTTTAAAAAAATAATAGTTATTAAGTATAAAATATATTTACTATATATTGAATTTTCAATTTGATAATAAAATAAAAAAACGTTATTTTTATTTATTATATTATAAGACTTAATTTTTTATTGAGAAGTTTATATAACTATCTATAATACTACAAATTTTTATATAATTATTAACTTATTATTGTATCAAAATATTTTATGTCAAGTCTAAGAAACAATATTTTGTTTATCTAGAAGATTGATATAAATTTTTATCTAAGAAGTTTAATTAATAAAATAATCTTTACTCAAAAGAGAGTTGTCTAATTGAAATATTTTTCTTGCTTCTATTTGAATTTTTGAAAAGCTTTTCTTTAATATTATCTATGATATAAATAAGTCAATTCAACTAGATTTATTATTCAATTAAGTACTAAATTGAAATGGCTTAAAAGAAATATAAAAATTTTAACTTCCAATTAAAAAAAATATTCTTATTACTTTAGAAACTTAAGAAGAATAAATTCTTATAATCTATATTATTTATCTTTTGTTTTTTAATATTTTGAATGTCTTTTGAGAACTTGAAACTTTTGAAAGAAAATAATTTCTGAAACTTTCTTTTTAATTATTACTTATATAATCAATAAAAACTTTTTTATATTTTATGTACTAAGATGTTTTATATTAATTAAGTATTTTTAATAAGAATTTGTATTATTAAAATTATGAATAAAATCGAGATAAATAAAATTTTCTAGAAAACTGTGAAAGTAGAAGTTCTAAAAAAGCTAAAACATTCAAAATGAGAAAATAATTTTTTTTATTGTAATAATATCTTTATAATTTTTTATTTAATAGTTGAAAAGATTTTTAAATACTTTACAGTTGATTTTTTTATCTTTAAAAACTTTTGTATTATTAGTATCAAAATTATTATTTGATTATTAAAAATCAAGTTTTTGAGTAAAATATTTTATATATAAATTGAGCTTTTATACATAGAGATAATTTTAGATAAAGATAAATAATATGTTTTAATCTTAAAAAAAAAACTTTATTATAGTTAAAATCAATGAATTTAATATAGTTTCAAAAAATATAAAGAAAAAAATAGATTTTAGTATATTTTTATTACTAGATTTTTAATAAGATATTTGTAAGCTGGGTAAAAATTTCCTTTTATATATTAATTATAAAATAATAATAAAGAAAATAAATTATTATTTTATTTAAAGCAAATTTACTTTTCAAAGTTTAACAAGTTAAGAACTTATAATAGTATTTTGTTAGAAACTTTTCTTATCAATTATAGAACTATACTTTAATTATTATTTTTTTTAAAGTTTTTTAAATATTTAATATCAGAATTGAATATATAATATAATTATATTCTTATATATTTTCTCTTATATTCCCTTTTCACCTTTCTAATTAGAAAAAACATAAAAGACACTTTCATGTACACTGGCCTTTTAGAATTGCATTAATAAATAAACAACAGGAATAGTAAAAATCATTAATATACTTTATTATAAATAGAATAAATAGTACTAATCTTAGTTAGGAAAATTGTTTTACCAATTAATGTACCTCTTTATTTGAATCTCAGTAAAGTTGTTTTGAAAGTTTCATAAAATCTTTTTTTAAATTATATTTCAAAATATCTTATCCCAATATAGATTATATTTTTAGTATATTGACCAGTAATTTATTACAGTATTTATTAAAGAATATCTTCTAGATAAATTAAAAATTTTAATGAATTACAGATATTGAAACCCATCTTTTATTGAAATATGTAAAGTTCTCATGTTTGAAATTTTTGTATAGACTATCGTAAAATCTAGCTTGGTCAAATATTATAGATCGAAAATGTTTTTCGCGACAATAGATCTGTTCGTGTGTCAATTAGAACTTAATGCTTTTTTAAAGTTAGACTTTAGACTATAATTATACAATGATTATGCTTACAGTATATTATCGTATATTTTGATTTTTACTTCAAAAAGGTTATTTTCTAAGTTTATATTAAATATTTAATAATTATCAAGTCTATGAATAATGTACGGTATACGCATAATAATACAATTTTTGTTGTAAAAAGGCGATTAATTAGAATACTTAATTAATTCTATACCAACATTCATGATTGTCATTATACCGTCTAAATTTAAATTAATGAAATTTTAAGACAAATAAAATGCGCATCGCTATTATAAATCCATCATCCAAATTCAAAGAATCAATCGCACCTAATTAACTACTGAAATCAAAGTTCTCATATCCTTTTTTACCTAATTTAAAATTTCTCCATTTAATTCACTTGTGTGTTCTTCTTTCGCCCATTTATCTTTCAAATCGAGAAACCTAAAAGAAGGAAATAATATGATTTAAACAAGGTGAGGCGCTCTACTGCGATAAAAATGGGGGGGCTGTTGTTACTCACCTCTTGGTACAACTGTAACTATTAAAATCTGTATGGAAAAATCAATTAAATCCACATATTCCATTACCATGATTAAAAAGATTTTGGAGAATGAACTTACCAAAATTATCTTTAGGATTACAGTGGCATTTCAATTGTAACTCTTCACTAGTAGGACAATGCGTAAACGGATTGTGGAAGTACCCTATTTCATTGAAGAAATGTACTTGGTGCCTTTTAAGGAAAAGGGAGGCTGCAATTGAGTGAACAGGTGCATCGCCCCATCTATTAAGAGCAATATTGTAACATTGAGTATATTATTTGATCATTTAACCATCTTTTGCGATCAGATTATTGTTAGTAATATCACTGACCGCTCATAAAAAAATCCACCTTTTTCGTCGAGGAAATCGAAGAACTTTGTGTATGCTTCGCCTCTCCATAGATCAAAACTAGCGATTTCAAAGTTTGACCAAAAGTGACATCTGGCGTTAACAGAAAATAACCATTAATTAGCAATTCGCGTTAAAATGTATTGAATATTTGAATATGACGTTATCGACATACAAGTTATATGTTTCACCGTTATCATTCGATATAAATTCCATAAGATTGTCTTTTTCTATTAATTCCGGATACTTGTTGGAAAATTCCTTGACTGAATCCCATAATGTGGGTATGGTCTTTGGGTATTCATGCAACGATATGGTGAAGCCTAAAGATTATTATGAACATTGTAAATTTGCACAATGTGATACTAAATAAATTAAATCAGTGAAAATATAATCACCATATTTGATATCATGATCTCTCATATATACAAATGGATCGAAGTCTATATCACAATAGAAGCGAACACCAGGCTCAACACGCCAATAATAATCATACTTATCCAATAAAGAATGACGATAGAAAAATCCGGATTCGAATCTAAAATATGATTTGTCTCCATTAAATAATATACCAATAGACTAAAAATCTCTATCAGAACGGAGATTACCTGCACATATGACGATACGGCAAGCTCCCACCATAAATTACTTGTTCTTCTTGCATTTTTGTCATATTTTTATTGAGAAGATCCATATCAATCCTTTCGGGAACACTCCAGTGTTCTTTAGGAATTAATCCTAAAAATATTCGAAGTTTAACGTTATCACACTATCATACAAAGGTATAATTAAAAAATGCCTACCGTATTCGGTCTTTGCTTTGGTCATCGCGCTGATAAGCTTCTTGAATTCTTCGGTAAATGGTTCATCATTCAAGAATACATATGGATAGTTATAATTCCGATTAAACCTGTCTTCTAATTCTCTCATGCTTGGCCGAAAACTATATAAATCTCCGTTACGAATCAGAACCACAAAAGCAGCCTTAGCCACATCCTTAACTTCATCCTTAGCTGCATCATGTTCTATCTTTTCTAAATGACTATCAATAATTTCATGTTCGTCTTGCGGCGGGATAATATCATCTGGCGGAGGGATAATATCATCTTGCGGAGGGATAATTTCAGTGTCAAAACTATCGTTGTCAAAAAATTCTGGCGATGACGATTGTGTGGAGTAATATGGCTTTTGGCTAGTATTATTTAGTGCCCAATAAAAGAAACATAGTGTCGCTATGGCAAAACCCAAATATCTTAAATGATTTCGTTTGGCCATAACAGAAAACTCTTTTCTCCTCATCGGTTATATGAGTCGAGAGAGATATCAATGAATGTAATATGTAGACTGGACATACTGTAATTGAAATTATATAAGTCCAATACAGGAGTAATATTTGTGTACAACTCGTCATGTACAGTATGTGCGCAACAAATTTTCATTTAATAAATAAAAACATTTAATAGTATATAATATATAAAGAGAAAGAAGCATAATTGGTTAAAGTCAAAGGCGATACCCGATTTCTATATAAGATAGTCGGGTAGCACTTTTTTGGTTCGATTTTGGAAATCGATATTTATTTGCATTCATATTTCATACATAAGCCTTCCTTAAAAAGATATTTATAAGTGATATACACAACCAAAAGTCAATTTTTAGAGGATCATTCTTATCCAAAAAAATCGATTAATATTTTTATTTTTATTTTATTTTATTTTTTTTTTTTTTATTTTATTTTTTTTTTTTTTAACCCGCAGTCAGGTTAGCATGGCATGTCTTTATTGTATATATACAAAGATAT